CGTAACGGTGAACAAATATTAGCGAGAGTCACGGTGTAATTTCAAGTATTATTATTTTTTTACGATTCCGACGTTGCGTTCGAACGAGAAAATCGTATCGGTCTCCGAACAATACTGGTATGTTTATTCGACCCTGCTGTGGAAACAATTTCCGACGCAACGTAGAGCCCGCCGTCGGTCTAGGCATTGTTAAGTAGCTTGATTACTGTTGCACCAGCCATTGTCAAGAAGCTCGATCAGTGCTCTCGACAATGCTTGGCACAGCCACTGTGCGAAATGTCGGAAACTGCTCTTAGAGCAAATAAACTTCCAAGCACCGTTAATAGGGAGGGAGCTACGAAGGGAGGTTTCAGAGTCACCCCTTACGTCGGGGATATTAACCGAATTGCTTCTTATTGTAATTTCGTGGTATCGGTCGCTATTAAACGGCAAACACTTGCACCCAATTAGAGCGCGTAAAGGAAACAACCATAACTATATGTACGATCATGTAAAATCACTATTCTCAAATGGAACAAAAGTGTGTATTCGCGCCGCGTTATACTACCCTACAGGCTATTAATTTCGATACACTGCGTATCAAAAGGATACTAACACTTGAATTTTGAAGGTTTCAGTATCTTTAGACTATTTTTCAAATTAAACCAACATATTATCATATTACACGAGCCTCTGAAAACCTCTGAACACCTCTGAACACCTTTGGAAAAATTGAAAACTTAGAAGGCTAAGGAATCCATCTATCCAATCGTTTAAAATCCCTGAATCAATGAATTCAAATACGGTTACTCCACTTCAATAAGCATGAACGTATCGCTGAATAGCTTTTTCCGAAACGCAGTTAATCGATATCGCTACCAATGAAGAACTAGTTGTTGGTTTTTCGCGACGACTAGGCAGTCGATAAAGATTCTTCATCGTTCTGTGTTACGGCCATCCATTGTAGTTCCTCGAATACCAGCGGGACTTTGAGGATTTACAGGATCTGCCAGTACATCGTTGTGTGGCTCTATACACATTATGGACGGATTTTCGGCGAGGGGCGGATGGGGGTGGGGTGGATTTGTGTTCACGGGGAGTAGAAGGCCGAGCACAAAAAGGACGGGAAAAATGGGAACTCTCTCAGCTCGAAGCGAACGACGGCGGATAAGATCGAAGGAAAGGGATCGCTGGTTCGCTCTCAATATGTTCCATATGGCTAATCGCATGCAAATCGCGAACGTACCGCCGTTGGCTACCGTTCGGATGCAGATAACGTCGACGCTCGAGTACGTTCGTCGCTATAAACGAGCAAACAAGTCAGCGGGCCGATGAAAAGAGTGGAGAATGGAGAAATCAATGATGTAATGCGAGGATTTCTATGTAAATAGTCTCGAACGTCTTGATTCGACGCGAAAAGGTCGCGGTAGGTGTCACGGGTTTACCAAAAAATGAGGACGACGCACGGAAAAATCCTTCGCAGTGCATAATGGGTTTGTGTAATTCAAATATTTAATTTGGATGGATTAATTTTCTGTAAAATAAATATTTGACGTGGAAGGTAACTCGCGCCGACCTGGATCGATTATTTAAACGTTGAACTTGCGGCGAGGTAGACAGGAATATTAGACATAGATCGAGAGGAGTTACATCAGAGATGAAAGATTCGCTTGCTGAATCGAACGAGTTTTTGTGTTTTATTAACCTCTTTCGCACGGCTGTTTCTTTGTAAGGCAGAGTTCAACGCGAATTATGCGTAAAGGATACGCCACGAAAGATATGACGCATATATTTAAAGACGTCCTGTTCAGAAGAATGACAACCGCGAAAGCCATTATAGTGGCGCGTCATTCAGGAAGTGACATCCGGGAAATCCACTATAGCAGTGCATCGTGTCTAAGAGGTTGAATTCTAAGTGGATCGAGCTGCGCGATCGATTGCTAATTTGTTAATCCTAGTGTGCGACTTTTACTAAGGTGTTCGACAGGTACGTGTGTTTTACATCTTTCTACGCAACAAAGTATCGAACGCAGAAACAATGTGTGCAACAAGTATGACAGTGAGGTTCATTCCTCGAACGCAAAAAATCCCCGCCTGTCAACGGTGAAGGCACTCGTGTTAGCAGCGAGGGATCTAGAGAGCGAAATCTCTGTGGGGACTCGAGCTCTTTCGACCCTTGTTTCGCGATTTCCCCAATTATCAGAGAATGAGATTCCGAAGCATCTTTTGGGAATCTTGGCTCCCGACGTTTCTGTTTGCCATCGTGCGCGTTCCTGCGTTCGAGGTATTCACCTGTCGCTTTGACAAGACTTCGAAGCTCGGTCCCAGATATTTCTCGACGATCCATTACGCGAACAGACGAAATCACGTTTCGAAATACGAAGGATCACCGAAGTCGCATGCCCGGAATTTTGATGTTCCGTCTTCGTGAACGACGCGAATAAATTTATACAATAGCTCGAAAAAATATCAGGACATCGGTATAATTTTCACTTCAAAGTCTTATATCTTATTATTATTAAAGAATTGCCAAATGTTACAATTTTCATGTGACTGGTGGACTTGATCAATTTGTGCAGTAAACGGCTCATATGTATCTTTTAAGGATTATTTTACCGACGACACGTGTGGGACTATTGACCTGGATTTGATTAGTTTGGATTGACCCGCCACGGTGAACGAGCGGGGCCTAAGCCACGTGAAATCGAGCACGTTCTCGATCGACGACGCATTTTCCGGTCCATCGATATTTCCTTCAGGCCTATTCGATCAATAAACACCACAGCGACGAGAGGAGCCCATCGAGAGGCTACGAAGTTTCGCCAGTCGGCCCTAATCTGAAAACTGTTTTGGCGATGGGATCCTGATAATCCAAGTTCGACGAGTTGACAATTTCGCGTTGAACCGTGATGTTTCTCGACGTATGATAGAGGCATACCAATAACGAGCGTTCTACAAATCCATCACGGGAATTAATCCCAAATCCGATAGTTCACTCTAAACCCTAAACTTCAACAGTAACGTCTCCACTTGGCAATATTCACGGTGTTACAGATGAAATTAACGTCTATCGCGTTCAGGACTTGCGATAATATAAATTTAAGAAAAGAACACATTTGTTCCTGAAAAAGGAAGACTACATTCTCGTAGCAGAATCAGATCTAAAAGGAAACGATTCTAGGAACGACACGTGAACAAGCACTTCGATCAACGCGTAGCCCTTGTCTGACTAGTGCGTCTAATTCTTCTTAAGCGGTCCGAAGGCTCCGCATAGCTCGATTTCTGTTCACGAGAATAAAACACCAACCTCGTTCAAAGAAGTTTGCGGTTAGTTTTCAGTTTCAGGGTGTGGGTAGGTAACACGTGTCGATTTCCCTGGCGATGTATTAATGCGTATCTCGTGAAAAAAACGCGATGGACGTAAATCACTCCCGCGTAATTGCGATTCATTACGATGCACCGTCATCTAGTTCTTTTCATAAATGTGATATACATTCTATGTCGTTTCGCGAGAGATTTTAAACCTTTATTCGAGGAGTTATTAAAAAACGAGAGACTGCAACGAGAATTCTACAGATATTTCTTCATTGTTTGGAGAAGAATTATATTTGATGCAAATTTAAAGTTACGTTTTCTGAAACTTGATATTGCCTATCCTTTATCATTGAAATACGCCCCTGAATAATTTGCCTTTTTCCCAATGCAGGCTGCCACTGTCTCCCTCCGATTTTATCGGAGGTTCGTGGAATTATTAGAACTCGATATCGCAACCGTGATCGTCGCACGCGGTCGACTATGCGGTCATTTACATTTTTCGCAGCGAAATCTTCGCAGACAAATGCTTCGTTCCGCCATTGGACAGACGTTGGCGCATTAATTGAGTTTACGAAAGTCGCGGTGGAATGGCAACTTTGTACAACGCCGGCAACAATATTAAATTGATTCAATTTGCGTGGCACCGCGGCTTCCCATTGCCGAAGAAACGGCCGTCGAGCGTAATTTCGAGGCGAGCTGCTATTTCCTCTCGAGCTTGCCCGTGATTTCCCACTCCGATACCGGCAAAGTGCGAACGGGGCTCTACGACGCGTTTCAATCGATTGAATTTCCGATTTTTTTTCTTTTCCCCAGCTCAAGAGAGTTAAAATCGTGGCAAAATTTTAATTGCTCTGTCGTTAAATTCAATAACGGTATATCTATGCGCCGATTTTATCGCGAGTTTAATAAAAATTTTAAAGGCTCTGAAGTCTCTATACTATTTCGGTGTTCTACGCGAGATCATTCGAAACCTGTTGTATGTAGCGCAGTTATCGCTCGTAAAAAGGTTCGCGAGTCGCAAGACAAAGTAACCGGAGAATAACAAGTGTCAGTTGAATCACGGCTACGAGATCCTTACTCTAATTTGCACAGCTCTGACAAGTTGGAAGCTGAAACTGCTTCGGTAGCAGGTCGAGTGCCGACGGCTTCTCGAGATCTCGCCAAGTTAATGTAACCAATTGTCGCGTTTGGCTCGGACAAACGTATATTTTTTTTATTTTTTTTTTATGAATATCTTTTACAACTATTCATTCTCCATCGCTTACAAAAAGGCGTGACTCGTTTTAAATAATTTCTTTTTTATCATTTTAGTGTCGCATCGCACTATTAACTTGTATCCCTTATGGAATGTCAGTGATGCAGTATGGTTTAGTGGTCCATTCGACGAACCTTTTTCTATTAATTAACGACCTCCATCGTAATAAAATAAAATACGAATCCTCGAAAACGCGATATCCCATTAATTTTTAACCAATTCCATAGTGCCATAGCGCACAGTTCCAAGGATTATAGTCGCTCGTCGAACCCTTTTTTAATCGCATGTCGAATGGAAAAATTGCGCTGATTCAGTAGAAGCTGTGACGAAAGGAGTACACAAATATCGCGCGTATTTAAAACGGAAGTGTTACAGAGAGGCGCGGAGTGCTTTTGTCGAGGACGCGGGGGTGGGTTTCAGCACATCGATCCCCCGGGTGCAGTCTGGTAGGGCGAACCCTCGTGGAAGGGTGCACACCGATGAGATAGCAGGAAATTGAATAGTGCTTTCACTTGATAGTGAGCCGAAGTGGCGTTGTCACTATACACGAACCATCCGTTTGGTTAAACGGCATGGGTTCTGTCGCAACATGTAAACGATTTCGCGTTTCGTTTAATTTCTTCGATCCTAACGAAATCATCAAACGTATTCAAATCTTCTTATCGTGACGATGTCTGGTATAATTTTATGTTACGTTATGTCTTTGTTTAGCAACTGTATACGCACGAGTCAACGCTATTTAAATCTGAATTACTTGCTCGAAACGGTCACAGTTCGTTCCACCAACGTGTTATTTTAAAATTCAGCAAAGCTATTTAAAACTCGCTGCGCGTAATTACGCGGCATAATTAACTTCTGCGAAAAGGCGTGTGTTTACCTCTTCGTTCGTGCGTGAAACTATTTTATTGCCTCGTTTTAATGCACATATTCGCGCTGCTGCGACTTGTGCTCGTTGAACGTTGCAATGCCAATGTCGTTTACGTGTGCATCCGCTAATTAACAAACAATTTTTATTGTCAATTTGCAGATATTAAAATGTCCGGAACGGAGGCGCATGGCGGCGATACGAGTCCTACGCGTCAGCCGAGGTAATTAAAAAGTAATCCTTTTCAATTTACTCAACGTCGGGGGGTTCTTAAAAAGTTGTCCAAGGTCTTCTCGCGCTGGTTTACTTTGCAATTTTCGTAAAACGTACGCTCGTTTCGTTTTGTGGTAATTTTCCAAAACTTAATTATTCTTAATTTTTTTACTTCTCCCACCAGTTTCGGTCCTTCTCGTGACTCTTTATCTTTACTTGTTGAGAATTTAATGTAAACGCAGCAGGACATTTAATCTCGGTTATGTTGCGAGTTTCCCCATTCCAAGTTTTACGTTTATCAGGGAGCCGTTGTACTAATTATGTTAACGACTTTGTCAGACTCGTAACTGTGCGCTGAGGAAACAAACGTAATTATGGTGACCAAGATGGCTCAATGTTCCTTGTAAGAATTCATTAATCTTTGTCGAAATGTTGCACAATTTGCAATGCACGATTAATCAAGGATTAATCTCCCTCCTTTTTCACAAATCTTTGTATCTCGCCGTGTTCGAGGCTCTACGAGAAAATGTGGGTTTGATTTCGAGAGTAAGTCAATTTTAGTAGACTGTAAATCGTGTCGTGCGCACGTGTTGCAATAGCACGAAAAGAAACTTTAGTAAAACTTCGAAATTTATAAACGAGCAGCCACTGAAGTAACGGGTTCGAAGGTTAGGAAATTGAGTTCATTCTGTACTTTAATTTCTAAATCTATGTTACAGTAATATCTTTACGCTACGATGCACGTTTCAGACAATTTTGCATATTATATAAACTCATTTCAACGATACCAGTCGATATATCCAAGACTTCAAGCTTATATAATTCTGTTCTCGTGTATTGATGGCAGGTCTACATAAAGGAAGTCTTCCCTTCGAGAATGAACTCGCCAAATAAGCTGTCTAATTAACGAACATAATCCTTCAAAGATGCAAGGATATTAAGTAACTGACATTGTATCTGACATTGTATGGTGTCCCCTATTCCCGTTGTACTTGCCACTTAGGAAAGATTAAAATAAAAATTTTCATATAACGCGATACTATTCGCCGACACGATTCATGTCGAAAGTTAATCTTTAGAAAATATCTTCTTTTCTGCGAATTTCAGACAGAGCAGAATTCACAGCGTCGGGTTACCGGTCCGAACATCCCTACTTCCGGAACCACCGCCTACCGGAAGCGAGACTCCACCACCGATACCGCGGCGCCATTCCGCTGCACCGGCTGTAAGTCAATTTTAAAATACTTCGTTTGTTTATTTAACGAACGTATTGGGGACTTTTCGAGGTTTTACAGCGACGCAGGAAACAGAACATCGACAAAGACATTCAAACGCGTTTGAATTTTTGGGAAAACCTAATATTTTTGCAAAACCTAACGTCTGCAATTTAATAATTATAATTTCTATCATCATTTTGCTCCTGTCTAAATCTTGGAACCATAAATCCCCGTTTCTTTCGAACGCGATTTGTTTGTCGACCGCTTACCAGCCACTTAATTTCTGTTTCTCTTTGCCCCGCAACTGAATCGAACTAACAAGTAATTATTGAAATTAGCTGGAGGAAACATGCCGTTAAAATGACGAATATTCAAAAGGCAAGATGGAAGGATGGAAGGTCGAAAGAAGAGAGTCTAGCCTCCGTAGCTATGCCGCTCGTCGCTGAAAGTAGTTTTCTTTCGCGAAGTTTCGGTCGTACGGCTGATATCGGTACAGGCCACGTAATTCCCCGGTAAAATGCGACCGAACTCGCCATCTAAATCATGAGAGACTAAGGCCGGCGGTTAGCGGCACGCCGACACTTTGCGAATTAACAACGACAGAGTGAAAAGTGATGGCGTAATCTCGACCAACGGGACGGACCTCGTTCTAAGTGCTCGCATTAAATCGAGCAGAAGCAACGAGACATTTTCTGTTCGTTGCTTCGTAGAACTCGTTCGTCCGTCGCTTGAACACGTTCGCGTAATTAGCGGACAAACGAGGGTTTAATGGATCAAGAGTCGTATCCCTGGCGCAGTTTTTCGTACGGCGTGAACAAATCCGGACACGGGAACAATCGTCACCTCAAACACACTCGCATACCCGCCACTACACATGGAAACACACACGGACTCTCACGCTGTTAAACGAGGAAGCAAGTATCTCTATTGGTCGTACTTTCTTAAGGGGACAGAACGATATTTTGTGGATGTTTGTATGAGAAATAAGTCACGGAGATTCGAACTCGCGACAATACGTTCAATTTTCAAGAGAGCAATTTTTCGCATATTTGAAATTGTTCTGCCCCCTCACTTCGCTTAATTTTGATTAACGACGGATCGAAATTTGTTCCACTGTTACGCATACCCGTTGAGAAAACACAGATACACTCTTAACACGTTCCGTGCCGTACCGTTTTTTGAAGACTTTCCGTTCAGGCCGCGCGGAGGCCTGTACGACCCACGCTTACAATTTAAAAAAACTTGTTTTCGACATGCGCCTTAAAATTTTTCAATCGTACAAAACCGTAAGTAGCAAGGAAAGAGTCTACATTTTAACATGTATTAGACAACAAAATAATATATTTAATTTTTAAGCAATTATTGTAACAAACACATGGTCGAACAATTATTCTACTCGACGAGTAGTAAACTAAACGGAAAGTTCAGCGGGGGTCGTATGCGCCCCACGTTGACACGGAAAGTGTCAAACAGCTCAAATTCACGCCAACAATTATTTCTTTTGTTTTTCCAAAGTAGCGCGTATAATACCATCGATTTTATCCCCAGTTAGCAGGAACGCGAAACGATCGTTAGAGAACGCGAAACGATCGTTAGAGAACTCGAACGCGGACTTGTTGATTCCGTAGGTAGCACCTCCACCGATACCCCTGCGGCCGCCAGCGATCCCGAAGCGAAGGAAAAACGAGAAACCGATACCCGTACCGATATCGACGAGACAGGAGAATCAACCGAATCGACGAAAGGCCAGCGACCCGACACCACCATCCTCGACGATACTCACCGCCTCCTGGAGCCACGACAACGAGAAGCTGATCGATCTGGGCCCCTTCCGGGCTCAAGATCAGCGAACCGCTCATGAGTATTCGTTGAGCTTCCCGGGCAAAGAGGAAACGAGCGAGGAGGGTGATTTCGTGGCGGACTTCGACAGGGCGAACTTTGAGGAAGACTGCAAGCTCAGCCAGAAGTCGAGCTTCGAGGAGCTGCAGAAGGCTTCCCGCGATCTCGAGAAGAGGCTGCACGAGAGGATCGTGAAGAGCGCCGAGTCGAAGTTCAAAGATCACCAGGCTGGAAGGGACGGACGTCAGAGGCAGGGGGGAACCGCGCAGAACGGCAGGTGAGAGTCAATTTATGTGGCAGATTTCGACATTTTCTATGCAGTGCATATCAATATCATACGAAGACTTAGATTTATGAGGTTTCAGTGTCATAAGGGGTTTCATGGGTTTTAAGGGTCAAAGGAAAACACATTTTCTTGAAACTTTTTCGAACAAAAAAGTCAGTAATAAAATTACCAAATTTTGATATCGTTTTTCGTAAAGCTGGGCTGGTCAATTTATATCGAACTGGGCTCGTATGATTCATATTTAATCAAAGAACAATCAAGTGAAGTTTTGTTGAAATCCTACGTGAAATAAATCCATGGAACAATTTCCTTAAGTCACAGAATTCTGAACGCGCGAAGAAGTTGCACGGGCGAACGAGACGCGGATCGATACGACCGCGCGAAATGACATCGCGAAACGCCTGTATCGTTCGATAGCTTCATTGTATCCAAAACCAAAATATCCTTATGCAACGAAGCTTCTCCTCGAATGAGATTTTCTTCGTTACTTACAGCACGTAACATTGTTCCGTTCTAAACTGCGTTTGCGCGACGAGATTGCGTTACGAGGTTCTTGCAAGCATGTGGCAGGTGCTTTATAGAATTACGAGGGAATTTAGAATGAAATTTTCCCTGTGAAAACCCAGAAGCGTAGGTAAAAAACGGGGAGCAGAGGTTTTTTTCGTCGAATATTATTTGCGAAATTCTTCATGGATGAAATCTGAAGCGTCCAAACGGCTGAAGCATCTCGGTTATAGGTAATATTCGAGTGTGCTCGAATACGATCGTGTTCGAGGTTTGGCTCGAATTAGTAGCGAGATACTACAGGCGATTACGCTTACGACGGGCTTGTTAAACGAAGCGTAAGCTTCAACTTTATCTCGATGTTCGAGTAGACCTTTCGTTCAAGTGGCCCGACGTCCTCGTAATCGGCAATCTACCTTAATTCTCCACTGCTTTCGTTGTACGTGTGTTTTAGTACACGACGAAGTAACCTCGCTGATAAAAACGTCTTCTGCGTTCTAGGAGATACAAGCTGCTACCTTGTAATTTTGGTCCGAGCGAACGCGAAGATTTTTATTCGTTTGCTGAGAAGTAAAGCAAGTCGTTAAGATCCTCTTTCAAAAGAAATAAGAGTAACGATCATCGCGAATTCCCGCTGTTCTCAAGTTACGTGGAATTAATGTTTCGAGTACGTGCCTCGGCACGTCATACATTCTCTTCATTACCGCAGCAATAATTCAGCCGTGCAATATTTCAAGAAAATAGAATAGTTACAGAGAGTTATTTCGTTATTACCAACGTTATACCGTTCCTCCATTTTGCATGCAAAAGATGAGATGAAACTGAGTCAAGGATACCGTGTAAACGCTACGGAACAATCTCAGCTTAAAAAAGATAAAAATGTAAAATATCTTCGTACGTTGCAATTTCTCTCGTAAACATGTCTGTCGCGATCCTCTTTTTTAAATAAATTAACCAAAGTTGCACGGTTAATTTAATCAGAGCACCTCCGCGTGCTCCCGTCGTTCAATCTTTTTTTATCCCTCGTTGCGACACTCGTCCTCGTTCGACAGGCTTCAGTCGTCGAAGTTGGGGAAAGAGAGCGAGCTGGGGAGCTACGAGCAGGCCGCCGACGGAAAGACTCAAGAAAAATTAGCTCCGTCTCGACGGGAGCCACTCCAGGAGGACGATACGAAGTTCGCGGCGCTGTTGAGATCGCGTCGCGAGGCAGCCAAGAGATGCAAGTTCGAAGAGCTTCAGGCTGCCTCGATGAAGCTCGAGAGACGTCTGCGCGAGGAGGACGACAATCTCCGCACGATTAAAGAGAGGCCAGCCACCAGGTAGACGGTTTTTTAGTAGGTCGAGTAGTCCAGCAAACTTTCGCACGGCAACTTCTCTCGAGCGATTGCGATTATAAGCAGGGTCAATGATTTCAGTCATATCCGAACTTTCCACCTACAGGATGTCGCGTAGCATGACCGTCGGCGTTGGGTCTCCGAAGTAGTTTATTCCGGGGTTGTACCTCTACATTCGGTATCAGTATTTGCTTTAAGTGTTTCAACTATACAGCCATAGTTATTACACTGACGCATTTTTCTTAATCACGGTACTATGTAGCCGCTGTCAGTCTTCTTCTTTTCGTTGCTCCATAGTTTTAATACTGTTTACAGTATCTCTTACATTCATTTGTATATCTGCCGGGGCTCACTGGTCTCCCTACAGCTCGGGTACCTCGAGATCGCTAAGCTCGTACTGTAGCTACAATCAGACATAGCTACAGCCCCTGAGGACATACCTACATGGCCTGCAAGAATCATTAAGTTCTCGTAAGCGAACCTCTGAAGAGAACACACCATGTGGAAAACTCAGATTCTTATTATTATCCTTTCGGTCCTTTCCATTTTAAGCTTGAAAGCAAACGTTTCATTTTATCCGTTCGTGCAACAATTAATCATCGTGTAGTTAAATATTCGTGTAATGCTACTCAATTAATTTCCCTGTCGATTCTCTGTCGAGTTTAATTCATCATCGCTGTTAACTGTTATACAGGAAAGATTCGGTGAATTGTCCGTTAATGTCTGTTCTGAGACACTTTTCAAATGATAGGTACGAAGAGTTGCAAAGAGCCTCGCAGGATCTCGAGAGACGCCTGCATGCCGATGAAAGATCCTCGGAACCTAGTCCTCGCGGGAAATACGAGGCAGAGATGGACAAGGCCAGGTGTATTCTGCAGCAAAATCTCAAAAAGGAGAGATGCTGCGGCGAGAAATTGGAGAAATTGCCGAAGGCTACGCAGACGAATCTTCCGCCGCCTCTGTGCGCCATTTCTCAGAGCCCAGTACCGAAGCCCATCAGCGTCAGACAGGACAGTAACGTCTCTTCGGACAGTTTTAGTCAGACGAGCTCACCGAGCTACACCAGCAAGACAATGGAAGCTCCTCTTCTGCCTCATAAACACGGCAAGGTTCCAGGTAGATATATCGACCTTACCATGAATGCGTTTCTAACACCCTCATCTGAATCTACAGTATCTAATCGTCTCATACAAAAGAAATACATATAAACCGGACTCTTTGTACACAACTACATCGCTGATAGTTACAAATACAAATGGAGCGCCTTATTTTTCTACGTACTTTTCTTCAATAGAAATACATTTTTTTTCTATCAGACAGAAAGAAAATACATATTTGAATGACCCTCGTACTTTCGACGATACTCCAAAATGTTTCAGATTTAATTTGAGTAGCTCTGACACAGCAAGAATATATATTTTTGGAAAAATAGATTTGCAACGCGCGGAGATTAAACCTTTCGTGAGAAATTAGCACGTCAAGGTTTCGATAAATCATTTCCATAGCCTATTCGGTTTAATTTCTTCATACTTTTCTCTCGCGTTTCATTTAAAGTCTCATTTGTGATAAAAAATTGTGGCAACATTTTTCGATTCAATTTCCAGACAGGGCACTGGTGTCCGAGCCCGACAGCTCGTCGGGTAGGACCATTACTAAGTCGACCAGCACCCCAGCCAGTCTACAGACCATCGTCAGGGTTCATGGTGGAAACAACGGTTCTTTACATCATAAGGTGAGCTCTCCGTGCAACGATTTTGACACGCGGACCGAGTTGGGATTGTTGTTTTCGAGGCAAGCGATTTTCAACGTGCTGGTGTTCGCTGGAGCAAAAACTATCCATGTATTCGGTCGATGTCACGCGATTTCGACCGACATCGGTTGCACTGTAACGATGGCTTTAACTCGCAGACGCGTTACGTGTATTAAGGATCAAGCGAATCCTGAAGGCTCGCACGCTCGGCCTAGCGGAAACAATTTCGGAAGCCAACGTCGGCTACAAAGCTTGTTGACACGTCCTGGCAAACCAGGACCGATTGAAACCGATATCGAATTCGACGAAGCGTCCGTTTCGTTCTTGACGAATTAAAAGGCCGTGGTCGCCTGGACGTGGTGAACGTTCGAATTAAATTTTAATTTGGGTACGACGATTCCCAGTGTTCAGACGTTTCGTTCACCGCGATAAATATCGACTCGACGTTGGAAAATGACCTGGCTCTCTCGCGTGTTTACGTGAAACTTTTGACCGCGAGATGATTTTCGCTGGAAATACTAAGAAGCGTAAAGATGTGAATTTTAAAAAAAATATCAATATCCAAAATATCAATTTAAAAAAATGGAAAACTCGGAAGACCTTTTTCCTAAAATTCAATTTCTTAAACGAACTTCTAACTTTTCAATTTTTATTTTTAAAACTAAGCATCCCATGAATGAACTGAAAATATAAAAAAGTTTCGTCTCGTCATCCCCTATAAGCTGATATTTTTTTTTAAATTGATTCAACGAATACAAACATTTCTCTGAGCCAATTTCTCCAGGGCGTACATACGTATACGTCCTTCGCAGTCAAGAGGTTAATACGTTTCGAGTAACGCGTACGATGAGCTTGCGATAATCACGGCACGAATACAATATGACGGAACACGCGAAACTGGTTCGACGAATGTACAACTGCGATTCAACGCGAATCGATAATTCGGTGTCATTTAATCCTTTCGTTTGCCAATTGGGGAGAAGCGCGCGCGTTTCCTGAATTACGCGCTCGATATCGCGAAAACCGAAACCCTTATCGAGCCAGATACAGATGTAATTTTACGCGAACGTTCTCATTATTAACGCGAAAAAGAGACCGCCGATAATGAACGCGACCCGACGCGAAATCCCAGGCACGAGCGAATGCAACGGTTATTTCCTCCCGTCAATTCAATTCCCTTGTTTTTTACATCTATTCGATTAACATTGGCATTATTGGAACCGACTACTACCGCGCGATATCGCTAATTATCGTTGCCTGGGGATGTGTAATGAAAAAGTTGCAAACGAGAAAGTATTCTATCAAGCGTCTGACCAAGAACGTCCAATTCTACTGCGAACGGAGAACTTACTCGATCTCGTGATGTACAAGGAGCGTGGTTTCACGACGATTGAGAAATTGGTTCTAATTGAAATTACTATAACTAGACTGCGGATCGTTATGCAAAATAAAATCTTTGCAGACAACATGTTCCTTACAAGTCCAGTAGAATTCAAAACATTTCACATAGGTTGCAATATACGAAGTGCTTAGTGCAAATCGAAATGATATTGTAAGTCATCGTCTACGTTACGTTCTCGACGTAGTTGGACGAACATTTCGCGAAAACGAAGTTGTATAGTTTGGTAACGCAACCGCGACGCCCTATTAGTGCTCGAAATTCGTTAGGCAGGAGTCTATCGGTGTGCGTAGGGACGTAATTTGTCCTTTGACGGCACAACGCGACCGCGAGGAAATCATAATCGGTATCGACGGTCTGGCGGTGGATCGGATGACGCGCACTAACACACATTCAAGGTGCATTGACTCCTCCAAAACACCGGGTCTGTCGCCATCTAGCACACGCGAATTACATCGAGGATTAATATTTGCATCAATTCGTGGACTGGTTGCGTGAATTGGAGGGGTGGGATTATATAGAATCGGTAGCGTTTATGCAACGACACTCTCTATCGCTGGTCAAACGGATATTTTACGCTGAAAATGAACACATGGAGTTTATACGTTTCCAACAGCGATAGAGAGGATGGGGAGTACACAAGGTGCGGTGATAATCCCGGCACAAACGCGTGTACGATGATTCTTCGTGCGAGGAATGCATCGAAATAGCGGATCAAGTTATTTTTCCATACAAAGCTTGATTTTCGATCCGATAAGTATGCCTGCATTTAGCTAACAAGCTAAGCGCGTTATTTTTCAGATATATATATATAACTTGGACCAGACGAAACAACTCGCGAAACATTGTCAATTTTCAACGTGGTTTTAAACGAACGAAGTCGCTGCGTCGTTACTTATTCATCGATAAACTACGTGCAGTTACATTTATTAATTCAAGACGAATAATTTATAGGAGAAAAAGAATCGGCCCGATCGGATTGCTGGACCGGGATTCGAAACCGAATCCTTTGCTTGCCTGGCGACTGCCTAAACCGTTAAGCTATCCAGGTCGTCGACGATTCCTTCTCTCCGTAAGCCTCATAACCCACGATACGGTTGTAGGCAACGGATTATTAATTGTTCGATCGAAACTTCAGATCATCGGAGACATGACCAGCAGCCACTACGTGACCACCGGAAGGCTACGCTTCAGATTCGTGCAGGTGTTCTTCAACGCTGTCGCGCTCCTTATCATCGCAGGCGGTTTGGCCGTGTACTTCAAATGTGAGTAGACGAATCCCTCGGCAGAGAATCGTGATTGTGCTTGATTCTTCGCGTAGTTGATGCAATTATTTTTGGGGCAATAGCGCGCGAGGGAAACGTCATTACCCGAAAGGCACTCGTCGGTGACAAACGTAAATGCTCGCGACGTTAGGCGATGTAATACACTGAGCACGTAGAACGAGGAGCTTCGTGGTACCGAAAGATCAATAGAGCTCCCAGTTCCCGTGTGCTACTTGCTTTCAAACATCAACACCGACTTCGCTGAACGCGCTTTGACTCCGTTTCTATTGGTAATATAGTGATGCGTAATTAGCTTTTCCATCGCATTACCGACCCCCTGCATCGTTGCTCCCAACGACCCCGTAACGTTAACTGTTTTAAACGATAGGAAATATCAGGAGACAGGAAAGCGAAAAATCTTTGTAAACGTAACCAAGTGTTCCAAAGCCTTGCAGTGGTTTTTTTATAAAAAAAAAAAAAAAAAACATGGATGAAAAGCAAAAGAAACTTGCGCAATGGAACATATACTCGGAGAGCCCGTGACGATTTTACTTACGTCATTTTTAAACGAAAATAAAATATTTTAAAACGACTAATTTTTGGTACATTGATTAATTGCATGGTAGTGAATAAACAAAAATAGTGCCGGACGTTTTACTCTGAACATAAGGGATGCTGAACGCGCACAAAAAATTAAGATGTCCTCTATGAGAATAAAGGCAGACGTTTTGATGAAACATTACGTGAAATTGTCGCGATGCAATCCCGAGCCATCGTTAACAGCGAAAATATGACACGATAAGTTAGTTTAACGTTAGCGAATAATTTTCATTTGACGCTGACCTGCAGAATAATAGGATTATCTGTGGACTAATTTTCGGACCGCGATATGTGCCTATGTCACATTGTTGCATGCTAGTTTATAGTTCGCGTAATGGGGCTGCAGTTACAAGTGGACCACAAATTGGAGACGAGAAATTTTCCAAGCCGTCCCTTGTTACCTTGTTGCAGCGTTATTCCCATGTTTAAACTAACGTTTAACATTTAAATGGGCCACCGTGAATACCAAGAGATTTCGTATTTCAAACGATCAATTGAAGTTGCATCTGCGAATTCTTTTAAACCCATGGAACGTAAAATAAACCGGTTAATATTGAGTCGAAAACGTAACTTATACCTTTGGATTGCGTACGTAAGGTTTCGTTCGATGACGGTACTCGTATAGCTTTTAATTTAATTACGGACCGATAAAAATGTCCATTGATAATATTTCTATGTACGTATAATTGAATATTAGCGAGACTGTAAAGTAATGTCGTTTCTTTTATATTAAATTCAAACAGATACATTTTTAATAAGTTTCCATTTTTAATCAATTGTATGATCGCTCTTGTTATCAACAGCCTTTGTGCAATCTAGTGTGCAAATTTTCAATGTCGGATAAAAATCAATAAGCTAATGAATGATAAATAAGTATTGAGATTCGCAGAAATGACATTATTTTCCAGTTCACCTAATATACTATACTATTTGAATTTTTACCACGGACAAGGTCCAACTATTAGACTTGCTAAATGATCATACTTGAAATATAATTGTTTTCTCCGAGCAGCCTATCCCGAGACTGTCATACGCTTGGAGAATAAGACGATCTACACTAACGTACTCCCGTTGACGGAACAGGCAGTAGCAATGATCGAAGAGAAGAATCCAGCACCGGGAGTATGTCTACCCATAATAGTAACTTTCTGCCAAAACCACAAGGTAAGCTTTCCACGGACGTCGCGACGGTGGAATACGTTTTCGAGTCGATCCACTTTCTTCGAAGCGAATTAAAACAGTTCCCGTCTCATCAATCTCGAGATTGTCGAGATTGTCTAGTCATTTTTTGGTCGGTTAAGACAATTTCGAGTCTTCTATTTTGTTCTTGTATCAAAAGCGAAAAAGAATAAATTCTAATAGATACGGAAGACTGATGTCTTGTTCAATGGAATTTGATCGAGACACAGTTTTATACTAATCGAGATCACCAATTACTTTGCGCCATATTTTCAAGAATGTAATCACTGTCCTCCACGATTGCGAATCGCGACGATAAACGTTGAATAATCAGACGTTCTTTAATTAAATGTCAAACGCATTTACGTGTGCCGTTCGTTGTCGGTTCCGACAGATTCCGTATAATTTCACCGTCTTCCCGAATTACATGGGCAATTTCGGGCAGCGCGATGCCCAGCACGAGCTCGAGCTTTACGACTCCGTGATCGATGTCAGATGCTATGAATTAGCCGCCCTCTTCCTGTGCAGCGTTTTTGTGCCGAAATGTGGATCTCGGGGTCACCTGGTGCGACCCTGTCGCAGTCTCTGCTTTCGTAAGTAAAGCCACTCTGGCCCGAGCAACGCTTGGTGGAAGAAATATTTCCTAAAATTTCAGTATTGCCACCATTAGCTAGGGTCGTTTTAACAATCGATGTACTATATTTTGAAAACTATAATCTTTGCTCAGAGACTAAGAGACGTTGCGGGTTCTTCTTGGACGTGTTTGGTCTGACGCTGCCAGACTACCTGGAGTGCGAGCTGTTCCCGGAGAACTCTAATCCGGACGAGTGCGTGGGACACCAGGAAGTGTTGGAGGCAGGTCGGAGAGCGGAGAAACCCGGTAAGTCATGCAAAGATAGCCTCGATTCGGTCTTTTAGATCTGATATTTTCGATATGTTGTAAAATAGTCGTCAAAAGTAACTTTCAAATCTTACGAATGGTATACAGTACCGATACAACTTTTTGAATCACTTGAAAATTATTGAACCTTATGGAAAAATGAAATTGGAGAAATTATTGTTTATACCGCCTCGGCACTTGAACATCGAGAAATTGATATGATCTGCTAAGCCTCTCTTCAAAGGAGATGCTACCTCCTGGGCAGCAGCTTAAACGAAACGAATCAAAGGAGTCAACAAGTAGGAAATTCGAACTTTAATTTCGTTTCCCTCGCGAGAGCTTTTGATTAATTTGAATAAAGTTCTGAAACTTCCAAGTTTGACATCTTTTCAATAGCATTCAAGCGATGTAATATACTACTCCGGTAGACTGTATCCCTTTTAAAGCTTCTTATTCGTCCCTGTAAGAAATTATTTATCGTTTCTTACGAGCAAAGCGTAAGAACTAATTTTTAAAGAGCGAAAACTTCGGCACACGTTGATGTAAACAATGTCTACTTTGGAAAGGACGAGAAAAGAACAAGCGCGAAGTGTCTTTGTGGTCGCTACGGGAAATGAGAAACGTTGCTTTCGAGTGAACACGTTAAAATTGGACGGCCACGATGAGACGAGAATTAGTCGTTATGGACGCGTGATTGACTCGAATCGAGAGGATCCTTTTTGTCCGACGGTCACGGGCACTTCGTCATTTTCGTGCAAGGCCTCGGCAGCCATTTATTCAGCTCCTTCGGTGGGGATAAGCCCATTGGATAAAGTCCCGGCATTTGATAAAGAGGTAGATAATCGTGGGATTAAAATAATCTCACCGGGACAGCCGGGCGACGGCTAGAATACACGCGAGTCGCGATAAAACTCTCCAAAGACGCAGGATTTCTTTCTTTTCCCTTGCTGACTGAAACTCTGCTTCCGGTTGCGAATTACGAAAACTGTTTCGCGGTCTGCGGCGATTCGGAATTAACGGGATTCGCGTGGCTTTTTAATACCTCTGGTTTGCGGAATTTTGTTTTGGTATTCGAAAAAATGAACAACATTATTACTAGACTGCGAGCGATTTTTGTATAATCTCTTCGAATTGGAAGGCAATGAAAGAGTTGCTAGGGAGACTATTTCAAATTCACATGCTAATTTGTAGAGCTATTATACCGCTCATTAATAAATTCATTCTGTAGTATAGGTCAGTTCAATTTTAAACGAGGGTAGTAAAATTGACCCAGCGAAAAACGATCGTCACGAAAATTCGGAAAAAAGAAAACTACCAGGGCGTTCTAAACGATCCATCAACGCCTCGGCGAGAGGAACAATGGGAACCGGAAATATTTACGTGAATTCGCTGCTCATCTTTTGTTTTACCTACCAACACCTCCGTCAGCTGTACCGATGCACATATGCACCGAAGCAAACGGAACTAATTGCCGAGCTAACCTTCTAAACCGATATCCATTGTTTGCCCTCCCATTGGCGTTTACGACTCTTTTGTTCCGTTCATTTGTTCGTTTCTCGAAACGGAATGTTCACCATTGTCAACTGCCTCGAGTCGTGACTTGATTTCCTGGACCACTTTGGGGAGATCTAATACCGATTTCTTAATTGTCCTTGTCTTTTGGTCACCGTTCTCTCGGTTGATCGGGTTGAGGTCGAACTTGGGTAGATAGGGCAACAGTGAAATCGGGAGGGATCAAACGTTGGTTGATTCGATTAGCGTTATTGTTTGTTATTAGATTGAACTGTAATTGTTCACTTTATCTCAATCGCGAAGGGGACAGAATTAATTGGAAAATCCAATCATTCTTAATTATGTTATGGAATAGAAGCAGCACAAAGAGGGACTCGAAATCTGTCGCGTTTCACTGCGGCCCCAACAGTACTCCTCGATGCTAGAAATAAAAAAGTGACGTAGTTAAAATGTGACGTAAACATGAATATTCACCTCGGGGAGATTATGATTTCCGTGGCGCCGCGATTTGACCATGTTTTTATTTAATATAATTTATTAGAAACACAATGATGCAAATCACGATTATATATCTACCATATTTAGTTCAGAAGTTAGACTTATTTGACAGAGAGACGATGACCTTCCTTTGGGACTTTTTGTCTTTGACTGTGAAGCTTGTTTATATTCCGTAATACATCGTCATAACTAGATTGCGGATTTTATGCATTTATGACGATATTATAACAATAATATCGAAAATATACATAAACCATATATACATACCATCGTAACTATATATACAAATCGCTGCGCCATGGAAATTGTAATCGTGCTTTCATCTCAGCTTTTTTCTAAAATTGCATTAAACTAGAAAACTCTTCAAAAATTAGTGAAACGTCTTTCAACTTCCTTTGATGGTGCCATTACTCGATGAAGAAACAGGGGGTAAAAAAGTAAATCGTAATCGTGCCTTCGTTGTATAGCCTCCTTCTAAAATTGCATTACCTAGAAAACTCTTCAAAAATTAGAAAAACAACTTTGGACCTTGTGACGGGCCTCGCATGAGCGGCCGGGAAAGCCGCTATTCGACACGCTCGGTCGCACAATTTCCACGGACGAATTTGTTTATAAAAATTTGAGCGCCAGTGCCGAGTGCACGCGTCCGTTACCTTCGTCCTTCCGGCTGCTCTAGAGTAGAGCGAAACTCAGGGGAGGTCGAAAAAAAGGAAATAAACTTTAATCCGCGTACGTTTCAACGAATCTTTATTTATGCGAAATCTACGCGGGGAATTACGCGGTACACACACCGTTGGGGAAAAAGAGGTATGGCGACTACGCGCCGAAAAGGAAACGCGGCGCGGAATTCCCGGTACCTCGCGACCATGGTCCGAGGGTCAGGGTGTTCTCGTGACAGACAGAAAAAGTCTGCCCCGTCGCAACCTTTTGTGACGGCGTCCAGTACTCGATAAAAGAAAAGGCTTGCTAACTAAAAACAAGGGTATCTCACCTGTTCTTTTGCGAATGCATTGCGCAGTATGCACCAGCGGCTTTCAATGCGACGGCACCAGATGCATTCCGGTCGACTGGCGATGCGACGGTCACTTGGACTGTGCCGATCACACCGACGAGATTGGATGCGGTGAATGCAGTTCCTCTTCCTCGCCCACCGCGTCCGTTTTCAACACGAAGATCGTGAAGAAGCCCATTCTAGCGAAGACCACCGTCTCGAAATCCCCCTTGCACTGCGGCGAGAGGAGGTGCATGTCCGCCACTCACATCTGCGACGGTGTCATGGACTGTCCTTGGGGCCAGGACGAACGTTACTGCTGTAAGCAGAATATTAATGTGGAAACGTTGTTTGTCCCTTAAAAGGTTTGATCTTACTTAAGCGTTCAACTCGAACTATATTCATTCTCTGTCTTTTTTTTTTTATTATTTTTTTATTTTTTTTTTTGGTATCTTCAGCCTCTGCTCGCCTCTTTTACGTTTTCTATCTCACGTTTCTTATGCGGTGTCTTCACAGTGAAGCTGAGCCAAAGAAACGGGGACGTTGGCGAGGGAAGATTGGAGGTTTACCACGCCGAAATGGGCAAGTTTATGCCAGCCTGCATCTCTCATTGGGAACCGAACTCTGCTAACACGATTTGCTCTATGCTTGGATACACGTAAGAGTACAGTTTTGCGGCCCTTTCAGTCGCTTTGTCGGTGCACGTTTGATGTCGTGCTTTCGAGATCGAAGCTACTTGATTTGGATTTTGTAATTTGTTTCAGAGTGGCGCTTTCGTCGAGGTTGCTGGCCCAGGATATGAACATCACCCAGAGGAATTTCAGTAGCCCTAAGACGAACCATCTGAAGGAATTTCAGGAATGCATCACGGATCAGGAGATCTATCCAAAGGTGGAGCTCACGTGTACGGAATACGGTAACTTATTTATAAGGATATGTGTTATCAATCGGGAAACATTGGTTTCTTGTGAGTCACTTGTTGTGACGTCGATTGCGCAGCTTGCGGACGAAGAAAGACGGTGTATGGGAACGCAAAGGTGAAGACTAGAATCGTGGGTGGCGTGGAATCGGCACCCGGTGATTGGCCATTCTTGGCAGCTCTTCTTGGGGGACCTGAACAGATTTTTTATTGTGCTGGAGTTCTGATAGCCGATCAGTGGGTTCTGACAGCGTCTCATTGCGTAGGAAAGTGAGTCTCGTATACTATTGTTTATGGTAAATGCAGGTATGATAATACCTTCATTTTAGGAAGTATGTCTACCTACAAGCTTCACAAAACTCTATAAACATTTCATAAATATCCCCTTAAACTTAATTTCTTTTTCTGCATCTGCGAAAATACGGAATCGCGTAAACATCGACGCAGTCTAGTTACCACGTTTTTAACAAAATATTTTTCTCCGATACCAGTTACTCCGACGTAACTGGATGGGCGATTCAGCTAGGTATTACCAGACGACACTCTCACACGTATCTTGGACAGAAACTGAAAGTGAAGAGAGTAGTGCCTCATCCGATGTACAATCTGGGTATCGCTCACGACAACGACGTCGCCCTATTTCAGGTAGACCGTTTTCTAGTTCAGTCGACGAGACGTTGTTTTTGGCAATGATTTTATCTTTTCTCGTCATTCTTATCAGTTGGAAAGACGAGTTCAATTCCACGAACATGTGAGACCAGTCTGTTTGCCCAAGGCTGACACTCATCTCATCCCCGGGACTCTATGCACCGTCATCGGTTGGGGCAAGAAAAATGACTCCGATTGTGAGTATCACGGATCAACATTACCACTACCAAGCCTATCAATTTGACTCGTGTATTTTAGACTTTATTCTGAAATTACTGGATCATTGATAACGACTTTGCAATTTCGCGTACGAGCGCGGTCGCCTAGCGCGTAGCCTACGGTTTATTGCTCGGGGTTTTCTGTTAATATCTCCTTAACGAAGCCTCGGACAACATTATCGCTAAGAAAAAAGTTGTTTCAGTTGAAAAATGTATCTTTAAGACTAGACATTTGTTCGATTCCAGTAGAAATATGTAGTAGTGAAACCTCGGTATGTTCAGTAGTAAACAGGTAAATATCGAACGTGTTCGATTTGAAAGGATTGCTTACGTGATCGATTTTTGCAGCATCCGAGTACGAACCAGCCGTGAACGAAGTGCAGGTTCCAGTTCTGAACAGGGAGATTTGCAATTTGTGGCTCGCGTACAAAGAATTGAACGTCACCGATGGAATGATCTGTGCCGGTTATCCAGATGGGGGAAAGGACGCGTGTCAGGTAAATTCGTAGATCAAAATGTCTCCGATATCTAAAACAAAATGTTTGTCAGTTTAAGTAGTTGGTCATTCTTACTTATGATTTAATTAACAGGGGGACTCCGGGGGTCCTTTGTTGTGTCAGGACGAACACGTTAAAGAGAAGTGGTTTGTCGGCGGTATCGTTAGTTGGGGAATAAAGTGTGCTCACCCGAAATTACCTGGTGTTTACGCCTACGTGCCGAAATACGTTCCGTGGATTCGTAATGAAATGGCCAAGTACTCCGACGTAGGTATGGGTTAATCTAAAAACGAAAATAATGATTCCGTACAACTTCATACAACTGGTAAGAGGTATATCTATGCGAGTACTAAGTTCAGACAATAATTTTGACGATAATAACGTGCGTGCACACTTCTGATTCGAGACACTAAGATTCCTTGTTAAAAGTCATTCTATTACGAAGAGTGCGTTACATGCTGTTTTAAGTGTGTTGGTACTATATAGGTAGGTAGAACGACTACAGATATATTTGTTAATTTGCTTAAGTTGCTATAAACCTCGTGGAATAGAGGAAACCTATTTTTAAGACAGACTACGAGAAACTTTTCTTATCACGTATATTTTCAGCTTATTTTTATTCTTGTTTAATTTAGATAATTAAGGAACATTCATTTTTAACAAGAAATCAAATTCTCAATGCAGGTTTTTACCGTTCTTACTGTAAATTCCCAAATATTTCTGGCAACGACAATAATTGTGACGATATACAGAGTAGTTTAGTCTAATCGTTGCTAAAAATGTGATCAATCTATAGCGAGGCTAATTCTTGTATTTATTGAAATGACTCATATGATACGAACACAGGTTGGTCGACGTAGATTGCTGAAATTGTATAATTATTTTTCGAATTACGGTACAGTACGTCTTTTCATCATTTTTTATTTAATTTACACGTAACTTGGAATCGTCAGAGTATCAAAAATGAAGCACTCGATCGAAATAAAAATGGTTGATTCTTAATGATTGCAGTCTACGTCGATCGACTTCCGAAAGTCTCTTACTCGTGTTAACGATAAGGTACTTAGTTAGGGGCGTACAAGCAAAGATGAAATAAGAGGAAACATATTCAAAAACTGTTCCACGAACGTCGGGTCCGTAAGTCGGACGAGAATCTTCGAACAACGGCCCCCTCGTCGTAATTTTCTAGAAAGTCAACTTTCATCAGCGCAAGGAAGTAATTTAAAAAAAAAAAAAAAAAAGAAATCAATAAGTCAGACGACTGGCGTATATTTAGTACCGAGATTAAAAGTGAGCAAAACTAATAATAGTTTCGCAAACGAAACAAAAATTTAAAAAAAAATTTTGTATCGCTGTCGGTTTTTTGAAGAGCCTCCTACTCACCACCAGGTGGTTGAAAATAATATTTAAAAATAGGGTGTGCGTTTATTACTTCGGTACACGACTCAATAATCGTGTTCTTGCCGAGTGTCAGCGAAGATCTCCGATTGATTGTTTATTTCTAACGAATTTTCATCTCAACGGTCAGCCTCGGATGAATTTAGTAAATCTACTTTTTGACATACGAATCGGTGTGCTGTTTCTCATGAAACGCTGATGTTTCGATGACTTTTTTATGCGCGATGTAAATGTAGCCAACATCAATGAACCGAGTGTTATTTCGCAGACAATAAATGACACTTTTGTACGAAATTCTCAAACGCACACCTGGCGGTTGGTGAAACGTCATGCGTGTACTGCACGAGACGCGTGTGTGTATCGACAATAAAAATTTCGTGTAATTGTAAGTATAGAAATCTACGATGCAAATATAATTGAAGTGTATGTTTGTTAATGTAAGTATAAATCGTAATATATGTTTAGCGTAGGGTGTATTAATAGCGTATTGATATGAAGCACATGTTTATGCATAAGCAGGGAAACATATATATATATATATATATATATATATAAATGCGTATGTAATAGAAGTATTACAAGTATGTTAATGTCAGAGCTGAGCAACATCATTACTACTTGTTTTCGATTAAAGAATGTCAGATCGAAAAGTTGATTTCAGTATTAAAATTGTTGATCCAATTATTTGATTGCAATGAAGTATCTAAAATTTAATTGTGGGTTATTTGTGCTATCAAGCTTACAAATTCAAAGCTTTCTGATCTTGAACTTTAAGCTTCTATGAGCCGAATTGTTTTTTCTACAAACAACTTGCAAGTGATTAGCTATCACTATTGTTATTCGTTATCAGAGACATTATATAATTAAGACGTATAGGACATTTTGTGAAAAAACTAAAATTATTTGGTAAAATAATACCATTTGAATCTCGATGTACTAGCAGGTGATCTAAAAGTTACACGGGCTCATAGAAGGTTAAAGGTATGGAAAGATGTTGGCATTGAGCCAACGTTGGCACAGCTAAAATTTTTTTTCAAATATATCTTAATTGCTGAGAATTGAATTTATTTGCAAATCAAGATGTTGCTCAATCTCGTATTTATACGATAGCTTAAACATATGTATGTAGTAATATTCTAATCCGTGTGTTCATGGTTCGAATATGCTTATTTATAACAGGAATATTCGAAACACGAACAGTAACGTTTTAATGAGGCACTCGGTGCTGCTTGTAGTTTTTCTATAGCGCACTATAAACCTAGCTTAGGATTAGAGATCATGTTGACTGAATTCTAGGGACAATACTCTGCACCAGCACTTTTTTGATCCGCACTCAAATGGAAATAGTTTTTAAATGAGTCTACTTTATACAATGTATATTGTTTATGAAAACTAGGAGCCTTACTAATTGACTTAGACTTTTTCTAAGCGATAAGAAAAGCGGTATTGTTGGTCAGGACAATAATCTATATCTTTTTCGAGAATACTTTCGATACAGGTTTTCTCTATAGAGGGTACGATGAAATCATCTAATTGTTTCAGAAGGCCTACGTTAGTTGGAAAATTTGTCAGTATATGTAGGATAAAGATATCGCGTTTACTTCCTGTCTTTGATGTTTTTGGAGGTTCTAGGCTTTTCAATTCGTCCTAAATAGTTGTTCCCTTTTCATTTAAATATTTCGTTAATTGAAATGCTTAATTCTTCTCCGATTGAAGATGCTAAATGACAAATGTCTTCCTTAGTATCCAGACAACAAATAGTTGTAATCGAGGAGTAATGTAATTAATAATAACCAACAATACTGTGTGAGCAGACAATAAATAATTTTAGGAAATGTTCCAAAACGGACAATAAACTAGCGCGTAAGATTAGGATATAAAATGATTAGGGGTAAGATCAGTGATATGCTGATTGTTATATAGTTCTCGTCTATATTGTGTTTCGATGTAACCGCAGGTTGTTATAGCTATCTATTAGAGTCGTAATTTACAGAATAGTGAATCTAAATTCGATCATACGTTTAGGTCCCATGGACCTTTAAGAAACCCTGTTTTTCTTTTAGAAGTTTCGTCGTCTAATAATGATCAAAATATTAGTTTTATCGAACGTTCGAGTTTGTTTCTCTGTCAAAAGTTAAAGAAAAATGTTTCGTTAAATTTGTATTCTCATCCCGGAAATCCGATATCCGTCTATGATAAATAAGATGTAAAGTAACGTAAGCTTCTGCCTAACTATCGAATGCAGTTCGATTTGTATGATATTTTAATAACTTCGGTTAGCTCGAACGAGGCTAGTTCACAGAGAACGATAGATGAAAATGAAAATCAAATCGGACAATCAGGAAAGTTCGAATGTTTTCGATGAAGATATTTTTTTAAACCAGATAGAGAATTTAATTCCACCGCATAATTTCGCTTAGGCTAGTTACGAAGAGAGACTTTGCAGAATAGTCAACTGAAACTACCCTGTATAATACGCTCTAACTTTGAACTCTGAGTAGCTACTTATTCCTCACTTCGTTTTGAATTGATTTACCCATCGCGATCGCTTTTCAACATAGAACTTTGATCCAAACGATTGCGATAACGGAGTCGATTGTATCTGATACATGAAATCTATACGTATATGCACTCGTACGTAATTTTATATTTCCGATTATATAAAGTATACATATATACAATAATAACCGCATAATGTGATGTAAGCAGCTATTACTAAAGTATATATATATATATAAACGATTGTATATATAATTTACAGAAAAGACAAGCATATGATAGTAGCCGGTTTCATCGATGTTTCAGTGTATTAAAAAAGAAATCGTATCTTTTCTTTACAAACGTCTCGTATAATGAATGTTTATATATTTCTTTACGCGATGGTTCACGAAGCCGTAACGAGTAAGGACGCATCGGTCATGACGAGTATTTATAGAATAAGAATCGCGAATCCTTATTTCACGAATGATTTTAGAAGTTCTTTTACCGAGAACGTTACGAGTCAATACTTGTAGTCAATTTAGAAGTAGGAATATCGTGTTTTCACGTCTAGGGTCGAGGTCTGTAAAAATTGTACATGTAAGTCCACGAAACGTTCGAGTAAGTATTCAGTATCTCACACTTTCGCCGATTTCAACATTTTTTTACCCATAAATTGTATAGTATTTTCTATAGTCGTGCTTTCGATAACAGAAACCGTATTTATTAACTTCAAACGATTTAAACGATAGAATTACCTTATGCCACCTATGAATCGAACGAAAAATCTCTTATGATTAATTTTACTCGAGAGTGACGTGAAATACTGCGCACAAAATAATGGTGTCACCTAAGGAAGGTACTCTTTTGCGAAAGATACTACACGAAACTGTATAACTACTCCTGTGAAGTCAATGTCGATTAGCGCGATTCCGTAATAAGCTCCGCGTATTCATTAAAACTGTCGATAAGATTATTACTCTAAATTGTTTAAGAGCGTAGTATACTTGTACACATATATACTGCATACACATTTGTATTCCAATCGTGTACGATTTATATACGAGCCGTCTGATATCGAAACGTGAATGGTACAAAAAAATGGAAAGAAAGACGTTTTAGACTTTCACGGTACGGTTTTGGTACTTACCGAGGCTTATGGAGCGAAGGACGTGTTTTTAGGGTAGAATACTATGCAGAGATCGCAAGTTGTCGAAGGGTGCCAAACTGAACAGCGCAGGATAGAAGTGGCAGACCAATGTTGGCGTGGGATGCAGCTTGGGTCTTGTTCACACTTTAACTACCGATTTAGAAATAGTCAAGTTCGAAGAAGAGTTTCTAAATTAACCGACCTATTCCCCGTTCGCATATAACGCACTCGTTGATTCAATCTTATTACTCGACGG